CCACTGATCCTTCAACACAGAGCATCTTCAGAAGACAAGTTGATAAAATAAATGTTAAAAATCTGTATTGTTCCATGCATTGTGTGTATTGAACCTTTCGATACAGGTACATGTATTGTTGCACCCCTAGTACATACACAGTATTCTGGTATTTGTATGGTCACTACTAACTGTTTGACAGAACRTGACTTGAAAAATGACCAGACTGTCCCTTTAACGAGTGAGACGAGGCGGACCTGTCAAAGCCCAGACTGTGAGCCAGCAGCCTCCAGTCACAGCCTCGAGCGCTGGGAGCGTCCAGGCTGCCGCAGATCTTCTGGCGGATGGAGTCGGGCAGGCGAAAGGCATACGGTCCCACCTGAGAAGAAGGTGGGCAGGAGCTTCCTGAGGGGAGCGGCGAGTGCGGCGGGAGAGTCTATGTGGGGGGAGGGGCGGGACAGAGACAAGAAGGCGGAGCAATGAGATGAGCGTCGACGCAACGAAAGGTAAAACGAAATAAAATCGCCACCGTTACCTCCTGGATGTCCGTGTGCAGCTGAAAGATCTGTCCCTCCCCCTCCACCTGTCGGACGCAGATCTTACAGGCGAGCTGTGACACGGCCAGGCTGGCTCGCTCCAGGCTGAAGGTGCAGTGCAGGGGTCTCTGACTGCCGCTCCAGATGTGGTAGAAGGGGATCTCCTGTCACAAAGAGGCACAACGCTGAAAMCAACGTTTCTCAGCTTCTGATCACGACAAAAACCACTTTCTTCTGCAAATGAGCAGCCAGACTGGACCAACGTCAGGAGACTGGGAGGTGGATTTGGTTTTCAGTGCAACATTAATCTAATCCACTTTATTTATAAAAACTCCCCAAGGGAACAAAGTGCTGTGCAATACAACACAAGGGCGTAACTTTATGTGGGGGTTATGCTCTCTGCCAGTGTTGTATAAAGTACCACAAAGTGATACTTAAGTAAAAGTACAAGTATCTTACCAAAAAGTTACTTTGGTAAAAGTTAAAGTCTCCTTTAGGAATATTACTT